TGAAAAATATTATGAAACAGTATTGGTTATTCTATAATTTACTGGTTGTAGCATGGTACCTTTATGAATAAAACATTCGTCACAAGGTGTAGTAATGCTAATGTTAACTGTTGGTAGAACTAATGATGACGTGTGTTAAATTTGAAGGTTGTTTGAAAAAAATGCCGACCGTAAATTTTTTTTTCGAGGTAGAAATTCTCGGTCGGCTGGGTTACCAGAAACACACTGCTTTTTTTTCTACGCCTTAGATCATGGCGGCGAGGAAGAGATAAGGCGACACACTGCGTTCGGTTTTACGGGAACTCTTTAGATGTTGCAAGAAAGGACATCGTCTTGACATGACACTTGCCATGTCGTCTTTGCAAATAACATGAAATTTAAGATTAAGATATCCTTTATTTGTGCCACAATGGGGAAATTTACAGTCCACAGCGGCAAGATAATGGGTAGAAAGAAGATCATGTCATCTTTGCAAATAACATGAAATATAACATTAAGATTAAGATATCCTTTATTTGTGCCACAATGGGGAAATTTACAGTCCACAGCGGCAAGATAATGGGTAGAAAGAAGAAAGAAGAAAAGAAAACAAACACCGTTCAATTAAGTGCAATATAAATACAGATATGGATAAGGTCGCAGTGCTATTTACAATTGTCTTCCACATCATTTTATTTTTTATTCAGCAGCCTGACAGCAGTCGGTAGGAACGAGCGGCGGTATCTCTCCTTCTTGCATAAATGGAAGAGTCAACTTAAACTTAACTTAAACAACTTAAACGCAGGCACGGAGAGAACATGCAAACTCCACAGAGTACAATATACAGTAGTACTTGACAATCACTTTTACAACTCCGCCAACTCCGGAGGGAAAAGATGCAGCGTTTCCACTTCTACTTCGCTTACGTCAGACTCATCATCGATTTATTTCACACAGGCCGGGGGGCATTTACAGCCAAGAGTAACCTTTAAGTTATTCTGAGGTCAAAATAAACATTAAAAACATTTTTTTAAAAAAGAGCACAACTATAGCAATGAGTTACGCACAGAACCACTGCTGGTTAAATAGTGCGAGAAGCACAACACAAATTTGTCTGCTCATCCATGCTGAGAAGGTTCACGAAACGAAACATGTACGTCACTGGAGTCAGCATGTCAAAGATTCTGAAACTCGAGGTCCCACTGCATTCTAGAGTAAGAGAGTTGTGAAATCTTAACAACTGCATCAAAACCCTCCACTAAATACTCCACCTAAACAACCTTATAGACACACTACATCGTTGTGGCACTTCAATGTGTGTGTGTGTGTGTGTGTGTGTGTGTGTGTGTGTGTGTGTGTGTGTGTGTGTGTGTGTGTGTGTGTGTGTGTGTGTGTGTATGTTTGTTTTTGTATGAGTGGGTGGCTGAGTGTGAGTAATAACGTCGGTTTAACAAATGATGACAGGGGACTTCCCTCATGTCAGCTCACGAAAACAAGATAAGTTTGGCAGATGAGTTGGTTACCACACCCATTGTAATAGTTTCCTCCTCTATGGCGCTATAGTACTGAATATAAACACACAAAACCACACAGAGTTATACACTTACAACATTTGTATTTCTGTGTTTACCTATGCTTGCCGACAAGGACTAAGTCAGGGGGTGGCTTTTTTGCGTTTTAAGGTTGTAATTTCGACCACACGCAAGCACCTTTTTGGAACTGTGTCTTTCTACCTATTTGAGCATGTATGATATTTTTAACAGCTCATGCTATTCTCGCTCGAAAGCTCCTTGCCTCGGGCGCCTGCTTCCCTCTGATAACAAAGTGAGCACAAGTCAACAGTTATGTCTAAAGTTCACCACTCTTCAAGATGTTTTGCCGTGAGGTTTATTGAGGCATCAAACCAATACATATGGGGAAGAAATATTGGATTGTAAAATCATATTGCTGGCTAGTAAACATGACTTGATGAATAGAGATACACATCTGACTTGCTCTTTAGCAGAGATGAGGCATCGATTTATTGGTTTTTGTCCTTTTATTGCAACAGAAGGGACACATCGCCTATTTACATGAAAGCCTAGGAAGGAGTCCAAAACATGGCTTGGTGGCTTCACAAACAGGATGCATGTGCTTCAAGGCACCTGTTTGCTTTTACTTCAAACTCACCATGACACCAATTCCTCTGAGATGAAAAACTGTATATGCAAGCAATTTTCTAGTGTCAACATCTACGTAGCAGATATGCCGTACATTAAGCAATGCTGGTTGCTGATGGCGCTGACACGTTGGAGCATATGCTTTGTGTGTTTGCCACACTGTCAGAGGTTCTGAGTTAGAACATCTGACGTTTTCAGTGGAGTTTGTATCTTCTCCATGTGCTCCTTGTTGTCTCGTATACTCTCATGCATCTTAGGTTCTTCCAAATTGCCTATTGTTCAAAAAGTGATTGAGATTTTTTTTTTCTGTACCTGCACACTTGTTTATATTAACCATGAACAAAAGTGGAAAGAAAAGCAACACTGAACTCCTGCTTTTAACATGTTGGCAAGAAGAGTTCACCAATGTATAACTTTTGGCTAGCTTTAGATGTGAGTGTTGTTTTGATAGGTCACGTCCTGTCAAGAGAGTCTCAGCAGTTCAACTGCCATTTGCTTACTTTTATTTAGTCTAACAATGAGAGTCTCCTTTTGGTTGGAAATGTGTCTTGCTGTAATTTTTACACAACATTCCTGCATTGTATACTTAACTTCGGCACCACTTTCATCAGCGTACACACCCCTACGCTTTCATCGGTGTTCAGGCTGTAAATAACATACACAAGCTTCGTAATGGTCCACACTGTGAGTGAGTGTTTGGCTATTCTCATTGCTTTGCTTCGATGGTTTGTTTGCATAAAAACATCAAAATGAAAAAGCTGCCCCTGGGCCTTATCCTCTTCTCCTTTCCTCTGCTTTTAAACAACACTCAGAGGAAAAGAAAAGTCAGAAATTAACGGACTGAGCACAAAGAATGAAAACAAATCAGATTTTTATGCCCTGATTGTTTTACACAATACCAGAGATGGGAACAAGTCATACATTTGCAAATCTCAAATAAATGTTTTTGTATGTGAGTTCATCTTATCTCATGTTAAGCCCTGTGATCACTCAAGTCCCAAGCCATGTTATGTTATTAATGCCGTCTTACCTGCAGTTTCTCATCTTCATAAAGACAGAAGACCAGTGACGTCAAATATTTATATTAATGGCTAATTCATCTGACCTGTAACACAAGTACAGTATAATACCCCTTTCAATAATCATCTTAAATTATCGTCATGTAGTTTAACATCTGAGTATCGATCAAAAAACTTCATCTTCAGAGATGGCCAAAATGTAGCCTCATCATGATTCCAACATGGCTAAGCCCACCCTAGTCCCCAACTCTCTGACCAGAACTCAGATTTCTGTGCTCATCACAGATTGTCCTTAACGAGCACCATGTCCAGACAGAAGCGTGTCCATATGTGTACTTGGCACCAGGACACTCTTGGCTGCAGTCCAATGATCGACTTTGTGATCGTGTCGTTGCACTTGCTTGGACACACAAATTTAGCAGATGATATTTTTAATATTGCGTTTAATAATGAAGCTGCACAGGGGTGATTCGTGAAGGGAATTAGTAAAGTCCTTACAAGTTGTGGGCATACTGCTACAAGCAGACACCTCATAAGCTTCTTTTTAAATGTTTTCAAATGAGAAAGTCCTGCAGTGAACATGATCCAAAATAGTCATCATCGATTCCCTTCAAATCACTTTTGAAACTGACCGACACATATCCTGTCTCATTTAATTTAATTTCTGGCCAAAATTAGATCGGATGA